GAGGAAGAATGTAGGAAACAAAGATGCAGGGGGGGGGGAGGAAGGAGATTGCAGTTAGAGAGTGACGTGCAGCGGCATTGCAACGAGAAGAGAATGAGGGTGTTGCCTACGAGGACGGCGGTGATGCCGAGGAGGATCTGGAGGACAAAGAGGAGGAGGAGGAGGGTGTGGAGGAGGAGAGCGGAGAGGAGGTGGAGGAGGAGGTGGAGGTGGAGGAGGAGGAGGATGTGGAGGAGGAGAGCGAAGAGGGTTTTCTCAAAGTTGGCGAGATTCAATCTAGAAAAGAAAGTGCGAGTGTGAGAATGACGGTCGTTAGGAAGTGGTGCGGTAGAAGAAGGGTTTTTTTCACAGTGAATCTCCACGCAATTTTTGGCGAGATTCAGTCTAGAAGAGAAGTGCTACATGTAGTGTGGAAATAACGGTGGTTTGGAACGACGTGTGGTATAAAAGGGGTTTCTCACAGTGAATCTTCTCGGAAGTCTTTGGCGATATTCGGTCTAGGGTGAGAATGATGGGGGTTATTACAAAAAGTCGTGGGGTTATTACAAAAAGTCGTGGGGTTTTGGATACGTTTGGAGAGGGCGGGAGAGGGGACTGACTGGTTGGTGAATGGGTACCTTAGGTCACGTTGTCTCACACCAACCTAGGATTATTATTATTATTATTTTTTTTTAACTCCCGAGGATTCTCTGCAATGGTGCAAAATCTTTATACCTCGCTGATTATTGTGGTCGAATCTCGGAAAAAGTTCTGAGTGTGCGTATATGCCCTTAACCCTTAAGGTTAGCTTTGTGGGCGATGGTCAAACGGCTGAGGTTTTGTTTTGTTGGTTCTCTCACACACTACTAGCTAGCGCTTTCTCGAATGAATTTCCTCTCGTATTTGCGACCAGGCTCATTCGAACAATTCCTACGGTGAGTACATGCCCTAACTTTGACGGGGATGGCGGCGGCTGGCGTTCTTTCTTTTGTTCTCTTTTTCCGTTTGCTCGATTGTTTGACTGTTTGATTGTGTGATTGATTGATTGTTTGATTGATTGATCGATTGTTTGATTGTTTGATTGTTTGGTTGTGCTACTGATCGATGCACAGGTGTTGGCCAGAGCTCTGCAGTATCATCCAACGGTCCCCGGGCTATGGATGTACGCCGCCTCATACGAATTCACCATGCAGAAGAACATGTTGAGCGCGCGCGCGCAGATGCAGAGGGGTTTGAGAATGTGTCCCAAGTCGGAGTCCATGTGGATCGAGTATTTCAAGATGGAACTTACCTATTTGGCCAAGCTGCAGGCTAGAAGAGAGGTCCTGGGGATCGGGCCATTGCCAAAAATAGCAAGAATAACGACGACGGACAAAGACGGAGCTCGTGGGTATGGAGGAGACGGCGGGGAAGATGTCGTGATGGGGGATCAAGAAGACGACGAGGACGAAGGAGGAGGAGGAGGCGGAAGAAGAGAAGAAAGTGAAAAAGGAGGAGGAATGAATGGAGGGGGAAAAAAGCCTACGGCTATAGCATCTGGTGTTGGCAATCGAGTCGGAGAAAACGATGGTGATGATGACGATGAGGAGGAGAAGGAGGAGGAGGAGGAGGAGGAGGAGGAGGAGGAGGGGGGGGATGAGGGTGCAAAGAATGCAAAAGGTAGAGTAGTATCAGGACACCAACAAGGGGGACCTTCAGGACGAGTGGGGGGAAAGGACAAGGACGACGAGGGGGAGGGACAAACAGGAAAGCAGGAGGAGGAGGGGAGCGACATAAGCACAAGACTGGCCAAGATCATCTATGGCAATGCCATAGCTGCTATCCCCGATAGCTTGAACTTTCGACGAAAGTTCCTGGAAGTTGTCGCGTTGATGCCATTTGATGGCAAGGAGGAAGTCGAGGAGGATATCTATGCCAGCTTGGCGAAAGATTTTCGGAAGAAGGAAGAGTCCTGGGATTGCCGAGCACGACGATGGGTATCTCGTCAAGGGATGGGATCCCGAGTCGCGATCGAGAAGGCCATTCAGGTATTTATTTGTCCAAATCGTTTCCGGGCTATTTGCGACCCCCCCCCTCGACTTGGGCCATGGCGAAAATTTTACGCCCACCAACCCTCTACCTTCCTCCTCCTCCTCCTCCTCCTCCTTCTCCTCCATTGCACGTCACGTTACAACTGGCCATCCTCCTCTCCTTCTCAGTTTTTTTATGCTGCTCTTGTCAGCCTTTCCCTTGTCTCCCTCTTTCTTTTCTGCCTCTTCGTCTCTCTCTATCTCTCATTCTCCTCTGTCTTCCTCTCCTTCCCCTCCCTCCTCTTTTCCCCCTTCCCGTCTTCCTTTCCTCCTCTCATTTCCCACCTTTCTTCCTCTTTTGCCTCCTCATCACCCTTCCATGCTGTCCCGATTCGTCGTCCTCCGTGATTAATGCACAAGGGGTAGGGCAAATTGGTCATCAGTGTGGAGTTGGTCAGGCAATCTGCAGTTTTTTTGGAAGATATTTGATGATGATGATGATGTGTGATGATGAGGATGATGATGATCGATGATGATGATGATGATGATGATGATGATGATGATTGACGATTGACGATTGACGATTGATGAATGTAAAAGGGTATACACACGTGAGGACTCTGATTGTCGTCAGGTTGCTCCGACACATGAACCAAAGTCATGGCGGGTGACGTCATCATTTATTTGTGTCTGAAATGGGATGGGAGTTTGCCATCCTCGAGCGATAGGAATGAATAGATCGCTATCGTTGAGCGATAGGGATGAATAGGGTATCACTGAAATTCGTGTCTGAAATTGGATTGGAGTTTGCCATCATTGCACGGCGTAGAGTTGCGTGTACGTACGTACGGACGACATTCATTGCTGAGGTTATTCCTGATTACGCTTTTTTGTTTTGTGTTTTGTTTTCCTTTTGCTGTGCTGGCGGCCAATCTATCAATCAATCAATCAATCATCAGGTATTTGAAGAGGCCCTGAAAGCAATCTGCACATGTGACATGTTCGAGCGCTATGCGTGTTTCCTGGAGGCGGCTTTTAACTGTACTGTCGAAGCGGTGGGCAGAAGTCAGACATCTCTAAGGGAGGCTGAGGACATGGCTACTCTTCTCCTTAGCCTCTGCGAAAGAGCGGAAGCTGCTGGCGCAAGCTCCCATTTGATGTTCACACGGCATGTTCGTGTTCTCTTGAATTCCGGTAGAGATGCCGATGCTCTGGCAGTGGCCGCTCGCGCCTGTGAGGACGAGTCTCTGAACAAGTCAGGGAATGTATGGGTTGTTCGACTCGATTTAGAAATGCTCCACCATAACAGTCTGGCGATGAAGAATACTGACACAGACGAGGATGTTGCTGCTGCTGCTGCTCTTGCTGATGACGACGACAACCATGGCTGGGAAGGTGTCGAGCACTATAGGCAAAGGATGGAAGCATTGCTTGAGCAAGCTCTATCTGTTGTGCCATTGAGTGAGGCCAAGCCGTTGTGGGGAAAGGTGTGTAACAGAAAAAAGGGGCAGTTTTGTATGGTTATCAAGGAGGAGGGGGGGGGGGGGGAGGTTGTTGTTTTGGGTCTCTTTTTGTTTTCTTTTGCTCTTTTTGTTCCTTGTAGCGCCCAAAACTGTGCTCCTGTTTTCCGTCTGCTGAACTGGCCTTCTCAAAAACAAATCGCAGCGTGAGGCCTGCTTACGTTGAAGTTGGAAAAGCGCCATCCACTTAGGCATGTCTGCAGTCTGGCGTGTGCCCAACTCCGCATCCATGCGACTGTAAAAATCCAAAGCTTGGGACTGTGAAAGGATTTTTATGTACCAGAGTCCCAAGCTTGGGACTTTGGGACATGTTGAAGCTGGAAAAATACAGCTAAGATTAGCATTGACCCTCTGAAACGGTGACACACACACTCACGGAAATTGCAGTGTTTCAGAAAAAGGGAGAAAAAAAAAAACAAGTCTTACCACAGCCAAATCACAGCTTGGGGTGTTGAGGGGTGTTTTTAAAGGCTTGCCACAGTTAACCACCAGTATTTGGCACAGTTATCAAGTCCGAGCCTCCCGCTACAGATTGCAGATTTTTCTTCATTTCTCAAAAAAAAAAAAAAAAAAAGAAAAAAAAAAAAGAAAAGAAAACGAGCGAGATTCTAAAATGAAAAAAAGAAAAATGAAGCAATAAATCGGAAGAGAGAGAGAGAGAGAGAGAGGCCCGGCGATTTCAATGCGGGAATCTGCGCAACGTGCTGATTCTCTCTCTCTCTCTCTCTCTCTCTCTCTCTCTCTCTCTCTCCCTCTCTCTCCCGTTGACGTCTTTCCCCCCCCCCCCTCTGGCAAAGTAGTAATTTGCAGAATGGCAATGTATCTTTCCGCAAACGTGGGAAGATTCATTCCCGTTTTTCAATTAGAACTGTGCGCACACACACACACACACACACACACACACACACACAAACAAATGTCTCAAACTCTGAGCTCACACCTAACATTCGTCAACTGGAGTGCATGATCCGTGGTCTGCAGTATTCACGGCACTCATATTGCGGCCCTGCACATGATAGGGTTCCGTTCCTAAATTTCGTTAAGGTCATGCACATGCATCAGGTTCGAGCTCACACCTAACATTCGTCAACTGGAGTGCATGATCCGTGGTCTGCAGTATTCACGAGACTCATATTGCGGCCCTGCACATGATAGGGTTCCGTTCCTAAATCTCATTAAGGTCATGCACATGCATCAGGTTGCTCACACCACACAGTTACGGAGCGTCGTTCGGCTTCCAGAGGTCGCTGAATTACATCCACGGCCTGCTCTTGCCAAGGAAATACGTATCTGCGACAAGATGGTGCCACCCATACGTGTCCAGTTCTGTAATTTACAGAAGTGGCACTCGACATAACAAGCAATATACCTCTTCCAGACCCTGACAATTGTCCTTGTCGACAAGTATTCCCACAATGTGTAGGCACTGTTGATGGTCATGTAGCCACAGTGGACTACACCATTATACAAGATACACTTACCAGCTCTCTTCTTTGAAGGCTCCAAGTACTGCCTCAATGCCGACACTACGGATGTGATGAAAGCATTGAAACTTGGTCTGGACGAGTATATTGCTAAATTTATAGCAACCATGAGATCAGCACGCAGTAATGAGTATCTGATTGCTGACAGTCTCTCTCAGCTGCGCAGATGGCGCACATCAGTTCTTTTAAGATGCCAACAGAATATTACTGCGTCACTGTACCAAGCACCTAGTCAAACTGCCTCGCGTGCTGCCAACACATCTCTTCGGCAGCTACAGCAGCAATTCGTTATAGTACCTGTCAATAAAACATTACACAACATGGCAATCTGCTGCAAGCGCTGGTACGCGTATAACTTATCACAACATCTTGACAGTTCCACCTACAACAAAGCATCGAAGACTGTGGCCAACATCCTCGAACGTCATGCACTTTTCAACCAACGTTGGGGCTATCGACATACTGACACCCTGCCCTATCTGTACTTTGCACTCAAAGCACACAAATCTCCACCTGCCCTTCGTCTGATGCTTGGAGTTACGCACCGAAACAACCTTTCCCGATCTGCACCTTGCACAACACCTCACCGACCTTCAGTTACGGACCTGCACAACAGACCACCTTATAAGCCTTTTGCAAGTACAACAATGGCCTCCCGCTCACTTAGCTACACTGTGGCTTACTGCGCACCACACGGGCCTGCAGGGCCCGACCAGGCAGAATAAGAGCCCTCCAGGCCTTGTGTCGTTTCAGCCTAAAAGCCTAAAAAGGAGGGCCATTTTCAGGCCCTCATAAATTCGACCTTTCTTGAAACTTAGGCGCCAGACCAGGGATAAGCGCAGGCCATTTTTAGGCCCGTTTCAAGACAACCTTTTTTTTGGAACTTCAGCGCCAAGGTCTGGCACGATTCGGCATTGGCAAGAGCAGCCTCCCAGCCGGACCAGCACTATATAGTACTGGTCCGCCCTGCAGGCTGCAGGCAGTTCAGGGGGCATTAGGCAGCCTTTAGGATTCGGCAGCAGCACTCTGCAGGAGTGCTGCAGTGGTAGTAGCTAACGATAGGAGTAGTCTTCAGCGCTGGGTGCTGTTAGGATCTTAGAGTAGCGTTGGGAGAGAGGAGAGTGGCGGAGGCCAGGGAGACTTACCTGGGAGCTTACCTGTGGCGCATAGCTTCAGCTTCGTCTTCGATGTACCTGCAACAAGGCTCCACCTTCACAGGTTAGTACCGGACTGAGAGAGAGAGAGAGTTCTTCTTCTTCCTCTTCTAAGTCCACCATCTCTCCCTCACCCTCTCGCTACCTGATTTCTCCGTATCGACAGACTACGAGAGAGAGAGAGAAAGAGAGATTTTTGACTGTGGGATGTTGACGACATTTGGATACAGACTCGACTTTGGGACAGAGACATTAACGAGGGACTATTTGGGATCGATACCAACGACACTTGTGTGACAACATTCCCATCTCCTCCCTCTTCTTCGTCTAATCCCCCTCCTCTTCATCTGTGTATGCTTGGAGCCTGGCACACTCTTCCTATGTATAGTGCCAGGCCCCTTCACACCTTGCGATGATGATGATGTATGTTGGGTCTGCATTGCGACATTGATTGATCAGATCATTGGTATTTTAGCCTTCCGCTGTGTTATCCTGTACTATGTGAGAGAGGTCGGTTCTTGTTCTGGTCTGTACCGTTATGGTATGCAACAGTTTGGTATCGGAGCGGACCTCTCAATCAGAAGGTCCACCCAATCAAGGAGCCAGCTTGCTTGATCGACTGATTGTTTGATTGATTGTTTGTTTGTTTGTTTGTTTGATCGATTGATTGATTGTTTATTAGTGAACCAAGTAGGGCTTCGTCAAATCTATGCAATCATTTATTTTCTTTTTTTCTTTTTTGCAACTTTGAATATTAGTATTTTGTTTGTTTTTTGTAGATACTCTGGGCATAACGGAGGTTGTCATATTCTCGGAAACTGGATTTATTCTCCTCTGAAAGTGGAACATCCATTCTATTTCACACAATTTTTTTTTTCAAGATCGCTTTTTTGAAAGCCGAAACTTGTGAAACCTTGCCTAGATCTCTTTTATAGTACTCCTCCGAAAACGCTTCCCTGATAGTCGATCAACAGTGCCACATTGATCCTCTTTTTTTATTTTTTTAATTATTTTATTTTATTTTGTTGATTAGGACCGGGAATGGAAAGTGCAGTTTGATTACCTTTCTGCGTTTCCCTCCCACCCAGCCCTTTGCCCGCGTTCCCGGTTTGGTAAGTGCCATGTCAGCAACAGTGCCATGTCAGCAGTGCCACGTCAGCAACAGTGCCACATCAGCAGTGCCACGACAGCAGCAGTCCCACGTCTGCAGTGCCCCGCCACCAGGACGATTTCAGTTTTGGGCATGCCAGGCCAACTGGCCAGCGAGTGCATTGCCGAGTACCGACAACGGATCCAAGCTCAGCTCGCACTGATTGAGGCTGAGGAACAGCGCCAGGCGGCAGCCGACATGCTGAAGCGAAGGCAGCTGCTGAAAAGCAGCGGCTTCAGGCCGCAGCTGACGCAGATGCCCAGGGCCGCCACAAGGAGGCCCAGGATCTGCTGCAGCGGCACGAGGCCACCAGCATCGACAGACTTAAGTTCTGGCATTTTGAACCATCCGAGGGCCACGACGACGCGACACCGGAAGAGCAGCACAATGAGTTTTTCTCCAAACTCGTGGCCCGGTTGGTTTACACTTGTAACCACCTGCAGTCCGAGTTAGAGAAACAACACCGGGAACACGAGGATGCTACATGGGCACTTCATACCCGTGTACAGGACTTGGAGCAAGCAGCACCAAGACCAGATGCTGGTGAACCCAGCAATGCCGCCTCTACCCGCCAGTTGGAGCAACGAATTGACCATGTACTCGCGATGATCGGCGACATCATCACTTTCGCCGCACCAGCCTCCATGAGCGAGCAGCTGACACCTTGAAGATTCAACATCTTTACAGCCAAGCAATGTGGCTTCGGTCAAGCTTGGCTGTTGTATTGTCTTGTCTTCTTGACAGTTAGACAATGTGGCTTCGGTCAGGTCTGATTGTCGTACCTTTGTAAGTTAATATCCGTGCAGCTAGGCAATGTGCCGAACGAGATTCGGCTACTACACCAGCCGCCTGACAACGATGTCAACACCAGTGCATCGCGACAATATAAGTGGTCGACGTTCCGGATTGAAAAGTTTGATGACTATACGCATCAAGACCCAGTCCCCTGGTGGTAGGGCTTTACAATGGAGCTTCAGATTCATGAGGTCCCCGCTCACTTGTACATCTCAGCGCTGTTCCTTATCGTCAAGGGCGGATGCCAGATCTGGCTCAACCACATGGCAACCATCCACGACGTCCAGGTTGATCTGCACAAGAAGATCTTTTGGGAAAATTTGACGAAGGAATGGAAGAAGCGGTTCATTGTTGACGACGCCCCAACGCTCGCCATCAACCGCC